GATGTACGTCACTATACAGTAACTGTGCAATTATCTTGATTATTATGATATGTATCTATAACAGTGCGTATTTGCAGAAATATGAACTTTGTAATCTTTTGTTCAATGGAAGCAGGTAATCAAGTTTTATATAGGTACATATCTACATGCTGATTAATTTCGATTGATTCGCATTCAGATTAGCTTACAACTGGCGGTAGAATAAAAAAAATATAATAATGCCTCGTAATAAAAACAGTACAAGTATTAAAACCATAATAATACATCGATATCTACCTATCTTCTTATTTAAATACCTATTCAAATATTTAAGCAGATTAATATGATGTTACCTACTATTTAAAAATAAAAAATTATTAAAAATATAAATAACTAGCTGGCTCGCACGGATGTATTATACCTACATATAAAACTTCCTCTTGAATCACTCTATCTTCTAAAAAAACCGCTTCAAAATCCGTTACGTAGTTATAATGATTTAAGCATACATAGGGACGGACAGTCAGCAACTGCGACCAAATTTTATACTATGTATTGATATCATTAAATAAGATATCAAAGTTCTCTCGGAAACGACTTATCACGACCTATATATAATAATAATATCCCAAAAACAATTCACACATCGTCGTCAATTTACACCATGCGAAGAATTGAACCCGCTTTACTTTCGATAGTCGCTACTTAAAGTAAAGAGGTGTGCGAAAACCGAAAGGCCACCGTGGCTACTATATATCTGGAATACGCATAGGTTTTTCAAAAGGAAAGGGACAAGTAAAAGGATAGGGGAAACTAAAAGCTTTTCAAACGTGGGACACCTCTACTGAGTGTATTTAAATCTTTAATCTCTACCCTGATAGAACGGTCATTCTATCATTGCATTTGATTGTACACTTACCGCACTCGCCACAATTTCTTTGAAGACCTCCCAAAAGATTCTGGTCAGTGCTATAAAGGTTTAGTATCTAATAGGTCGTATCTAGGGTGGGTCTGGACCAGAAAAGTCTGGGTGGGTCCCCACATGCCCGAGGCCGTATAATTTATAATGATAGATGTAATATTACTCGTATCTGTTAATGGTAATTGTGTAAACGAACTATCCGGTCTAGTATTCATTTCGTTGGTAAAAGAACGCCTTATACTTCAAATGTCTCTGCTCTACCTATCAAGCCCGACAATCCTCACAAGTCAGGTCTCTGGTGGGGTTCTGGTGGGATCTCCCGTGCAGATTATAGCCCGAACATTGAACTAGTTACCAGTTCAACGTTGCTACAAACGGGTTTGTGGTTTGAACAACGAAGTATTTTAATTCTAATATAATAAAAGACACTCACAATCAAATTTAAACATTACACTGGCTTTGCTCCCAAACTTGCACAATTATCTTTGCCGGGAAGTTTTGAAAGAAATACCATACTACACTAGCACAATTACCACACATCACGAAAAGCAGTAGGTACTACTGCTTTTCGTGAACAGGTACCTTAATTTACATTAAGATTACCTAGTATACAATAGATAATATAATACCTGAAACAAAAGAACAAAAATATTTTTTTATCTTTTAGGGATGTTTGTAACCTTTTTTTTTTACTTGGAGAAAATCCCTCATGGAGACCCGCCTGCCCCGAGGGAGGCAAGCGGGTACTGTGCGACTCCTACTCACTAAAAACTTCAAGGTGTCCCGACGAAGCGTGTTTGTAACCTAGGTTAATCTGTATAATTGCGGAGGTGGAATGCACATGCGAAACCCCGGCATAGGCGCTTGAAGGTACATTTTGTGGTTTTTATTGTATAAAAATCCCACACACCTCCCGCCAGCCCAACGGAGGGATGACAGACTATTAAATATTTTCCACACATTAATAAAAAAAAGGTTAAACTATATATCTACTTACCTTTTTACGTGAGTAGAATGGCAAACAAGTTGATAGTTCTGACGGTAATCACTGCATTGCCTGTGCCTATACACAAACAGCACCAAGAACATCATTTTATCTTGTGACGCCCATGACAGGCTTCCTCCGTTGCCATTTCAAAGGACTAAGATGGCATGCATATGTGTCCTGCAAATTCACTGCCCTATCTCAACCTACATTCGACACACAGCTCACAAAGCAAGCTGTTTGTCGACTAAAATATATGAGATAAAGGTACCCACGAAGACGACTTTGTAGAAAACCTCCTTGGTTAAATATATTTATCTACATAAGTATATTAATGTTATAAGCTTGCTGTGAACTCTGAAATAAATAGATACACAAATTATAGTTCGATTCGAACGCCATTAATCACAAGTTGATTCGTTTGTGAATGTTACAAACCATAGCTTAATACTGAACATAATCATGCTTGTTACAAAATGATAGATGAAAAACAAATTACTATGACACTGAATATTCCATATGCGATCGTAATGTGTTTGTGATAAGGATCATATTAAAATAATATTTGGTGTTAAAACCTATCATTTTCATTCATAGTAGAGGGGTTATGACGAATGTTTATGTACGTTCATGTAAGGAGTTATTAACTAGGTATATCTTGTATTTATTGGTGTTTTAAATTGACTGTATACATGATAATGCAATGTTGATCCCGCCTATGTTGATGGTAGGGTGGCAGAGCACCAAGGATAAACGTAAATTATCTAACGAAATCTTTGTAATTTTTAAAAAATGTTTGAGAACTCCAGACCTGTTAATATATTCAATAGAATATAATCAATTTGTTTGGAATATTATGATTTTTAGAGCCGTAAAAATATAAACAGAAATGATTTTAATTTAAATAAAATGTAAACAGTTTATAATAAAAATCACTAAACATATAGCGACGTCTAATGTGTAGTAGCCAAAACATTTTACTGCCATCTAGCGGCCAGTAGTGAAATATAATTAGTATCACAAGTGGGGTTACGTCTAAAACCTTTGAGTATAAAGTAGCAGATGGCGCTATTCGTACTTTTCAAAATATTGAAATGTATTTAAGTTACAATTATAACTGGTTCCTATATAAAACAACAGATGGTACTTTATGGTAATGTATTAATACTACAAAATTCAAATACCTATCAGATTTTCTCTATGGATAATGGTAATAATCTAATGGTGCACCCGCCTGCGACAACGGTTTATGTTTGAGCTAAGATTATAAGATGAAGATCACAGAACAAAAAAGTTCTGTGATGTAGCTGAAGGCAGTTCAATTAGCCCGTCATGCGAATTGGCGTCGGGTTCCATAGATAATATATGTCTCATATTCCATTCATTTCCATTCCATTCACAGCTCTACGTTGCTATCTAAAGATTGTTGGTGCATTTATACAAGTAATTTAGGATCTGTATTTTTTGGAGTAATTTAGTAGAAAATTAATAGGATAGCAGAAATAAACGTTACCTCTTGTCGAGAAATTAATGTTTGAAACTTCTAGAAACGTTTGTAACCTATGTCCATAGGTGTACTACTTCTTAATATGGTTCAACGTTTTTTTTGTGTGATATGATGTGAATGTGTTTTGCGAATGTATTCAAAAATATATCAATAAGCTGATGATGATATATATTTTTATGGTTAATAATGGAATGGTACACCCGCCTGCGCTAACAGTATATGCTGGCGGGACACCAGTGGTGGATGACAAGATTAACATAAGGTCATGTCAATAAGCCCATCATTGTGAATTAACCAGGAATTTTCACGATATTTTCTAGGATTCACTGTGGAGGTCCATCTGACATGGTACATTGCTAGCAATAGGATCATTAGTTCACATTACTAACAATCCCCTGACCCCTGATGGTGACATTCATCGGCTGAACCTATCCATTTCACCTGTGATAACGGTAAACGCTGGCGGAGCACCAATGGACGATAATAAGATGAAGTCAGGTCCGTCGTGGCCAATTCACCGTGATTTAACCATGGTGGTTTCCCGCGTAGAACGTGAGGAGGTAGACTTTACATGATACATCATTACCGATAGGATCTATTAGTAATAGTCTATTAAATTTATAGTAACGAGACTATTATTAATGAAATTAACGAGGCGATTGTAGCGGACATGCCAAACCCTCAGGACTTATGAAGCGGATGAATACTAATTTCTGCCTGACAGATACGACTAAGTCTAAGTGCAGCACTAGGGGTATGAACCAATCTATCTATTTTTACTCTGCTCATATCTGTTTCTTAATCATCATATTATCTCATAAAAATAAAAAAAAACACAAACAATATTTTTTTAAACCCAATAGATAGTTTTTAATTTTTTTTGTTATTAAGGATAATCTTATTTTCTCTTCTAATACATATATAAAATTTTCGTGTCATACTTTTCGTAACAAATCTCGTCCGAAATAGCTTGACCGATTTTTATGAAATTTGGTGTATTATTCAATAGGCCTGAGAATAGGAAGTACCATAAGTGAATGGGTGGTCAATCTAAAAATATTTTTTATATTTTGGACAACATTTATTTTAGCTCTATGATTTCTATGATTCGTCATTAAAAAACAGTTATAATCAAAAATTATCATACTTCTACCGTTAATCCCTATTTGTAATAGCAATGTTTATTTATATGGCAAAACATTCACGGATTAGCTAGTATAGGTATACATACTTCTTTTTAGTTTCGTTAAAAAACATTAACTCGATTTTTATAGTATCGAGTTAATGTTTTTATCGAACTCTTCTTAAAGGACTTTACGACTTTTTGGGAAACGTTTGGTATATATTTGTTAGATCTAGTAACATATGTTTTGTACCTTAGTGGAATAACAAGGATAGTCATATTTAGAAATAATTGATATGTGTAAATAAGTATTTTTTTAATTGATAATAATGGAATGGTACTTCCGTATACGATAACGGTATACCTGATGGGCACTAGTGGATAATGATAAGTCTTGCAGAAGGTCTAGTAATCGATAATGAAAGGATAAATTACAATAAAAATAATAATTAATTAACACTTATAAGGATTTAATCATCGTTAATATTTATTTATATATTACAACATTGTTGTCAACATTTCTCAAATGCATTTTATACACTTTATTATGTTTGTCATAAATACATTTCGTGTTCGAGATTAATATTCTCTAATATAAATACTATAATAATATCCAAAATTTACACCATACGATCTGAACCTTGGTAGTTCATTTGTTATTCAATATAATTATGTATTTCGACATGTAATGTATTTTCACAATGCATAAATCCAGCCGATTACGCATTGTATTGTAAAACAAAATTAATTATAGTTAATCGGGTCTTAATACGAATAATTTTATAGTAATTATAATTTCCCCATTTCGACTAAGTTGCACTGCCGTGGACACAAGCTAGCTGGAATACAGCAATGTCAAAGTCGGTAGGTATCAGCAGTTCTTTCAACTACCGTCACTAGATTTTTTTATCGAAAGATCACGATATACAGTACTCACGTAGTATCCGTACACTGATTGCCGATGCTACCTGACTTCTTTTAAATGCCACTGGATTCCTTACTAGTGGGACTAGTACTACTTATATTCTTACTATTGCCTTAAATTTGTCATCTGCGACAAATTTAAGACATGTTCCCACTAGTAATTTACCTTTTTTATTTCTATTTATATTGTGTTAATGTGTCGATGAGTAGAAAGAACTTTTGATTATTGTAAGATCTGATTAACTATATTAATAATGTGTACTGAAAATTCAAAAGTAACTACAAAAATGAGTACTGGTATGCTAAGAATAAGGTTCCAAATCGTCTATGACATATCAAAATAATCGAAAATTTTCTTTGGCACATGTTTTAAAAAATTAAAATAAATGTGTCTATGGTTTATTGAAATGCATCAAACAAGGTGTCTTGACTGCGCTCGTGTTTGTACCGTTTGGGCTGAGTTTCGATGTCGTCTTCTATATAGTCGCAGGGACTGAGTAGCTGAAAGAGAAATGTGCATTATTAATAGAAATATTTTTTTAATACAATATTTGTCTAACTCTTTAATTCTAAGAAGCACGAAGGTGTCCGAGTGTCCTCTACCTGATCTATTTAAGCCACCAAGCAGAATACTTTGTAGACTATATTTCGATTGAAGGATAAATATTGCAGTGAGAAGAGCAAGAAAAGGAGGCATTACATGTTAATCCTTAAGGCAACGCATGGAGAGGTCCATAGACCAAAATATCTACTTCTTCATTCTGTGGCCAATCCCATGCTTTTCACTGTGCATGTTTTGAACATAATACATTTGCGTTCTCTGATCAATCTTTGGCTAGACTTCACGACCCACTGAATGTTTGGCGATCCTCAGTTTGATATTATTTTACTTTTTATAATATAAATTAGAGGCCTTTAAAATTATTCCCGAAACCCACTAATAAAGTCTCTTAACCTAAACAATAACACGATCAAAAATTGGACCGCCCAGGATTATTCACACAGCCCCATCTAGTCCCAAGCTAAACAAAGCTTGTATTATAGGAATTAAACAACTGATAGAAAATTTTTAATATTTTTTTGTAACTACTTACACATAGAAAATGACCATCATACTCATGAATACAAATTTTGCAAAGTTTGCATCGTGCGAGGAATCGAATCCGCGATCATCGCAAGCAAAGCATTGTGTTAAACCACCAGACCATTGAGCCCGTTAATATACCTCTATCAAAATAAAAACGAATATCTTTTTAATTCCGTAGGTGTTACACCCACGGAAATATATTCATTTTTATCAAAGAACTATCTAGATAGAGGTCTAGTAAAATTTCAGTGGGATTTAATACTATTTGTTTCATCTTCAATCAGAACTAATGAAATTGTATCTCTTGGTACTTCCTTATGAATATAAATATAGTCAATTTGTAATAATCGTCAAAGCAATTTACTCAGTCAAATTATTTCAGTCCGCTGAACCGTTGCAAACGACTTATTGAAAAGTTATTTGCAATTTATTTATATAGATAAAAAAAACCTAAATTAAATGATTGAATGAAACTAAAAACCGTTCTTAAAAATACACCTTGTAGGCAATTCATCAAACACCCTATCATATTTCCAAAGAAAAAGTAGTGTTTTCTTATGCAAATGCCGAGGCAAAGGTCACATTGTTCTGCTATAGTTTAGTTTGAAAACTAGATATTTATTACAAGTACATAGATAGTAGAACTCGACCAAAATTAAATATACTCTCAACATTTTTATCGGTAAAACAATTTTGAACTCAGTACTTTTTTCTATATAAACCGACTTTATTTTTTGCGGACTACTCTAATGCTGTTGCCCGCAGCTGGCCTTTATAGTTTCACCGGAAGATAGGGGGCGAGTGGAGATGGCACTCCAAAGCCGCATAAGAACTTAGCGGCTGAATCCAACTCCCGCCTGATGGATGGACTGAGTATTTCTGGTCTGAAGGCACCGCTAGGAGTTCCAACCTCGACTCAAGCCGTCTTAATTTCAATACCCATTTGAACCGGGGACTCGATTAATATAAACCGATTTTGATGATTATTTTTTATATGAAAGCTGGAACTTATCATGTGAAGACCGCATGACTACAAGAGAAGCACAAGCTTTCGTATAAAAAAGATTCATCAATATCGGTTTATACATATAAAAAGTTTCTAAAGTAACGTTCTTAGTAAAAATACAGTAGAATTAAGCACTCCCTTCTTTTTCGAAGTCGGTTTAAAAATGAATATCCACACTTTTATTTTTGCAACAACAAATAAACTATATAAATATTTCTATTAAGCTTACCCTTTCGCTCAAAGGTTTCCCTTCGAGCACATACTTCAGTTTGTTCATTTGGCATGGGTTCAGGATCCTCTCCAGGTTGCTGGCTACTTCCCTGATATCTTCCCTCCTGTGACCGTCTCGTTTGCCATTCGTCCAACCCCTCGAATACTGGAAGGTCTGCGATGCCACTGACGTGAGGGTGACGACGATTAAGAACGTGGCTAAATTCGTCACCATTTTGGTAACTGTAACAAAAAATGTACAATTAATTATATACTAACATATAATACGAATTAAGTACATTTTCCAATGTACAGACGAAGTTCAAGCAGAATATCTACTCTTAAAATTTTCACCAAGACACATAGTCGAAATCTGAGAATTAATTTCGATCTTTTCATATTAAATCTATTGTCGATTTATATTGCACTGAATATTTTTCTATTCTTTCTTTCCTTAATTTGTATGAATCTATTCAAATTCTTTTAAAATTTTCACCTCACTGGCTATAAAAAACAACCATGAAGATCTTTGAAGGATTGTGGTATTTATGGCTCTCGATAAGTGTACCGAAGTCCCTTTTTCATTTTTGTGTTATTATATTTTAAAAAAATATTTCCTTTCCTCATATTTTGTACTTTAATTTATAAGTATCAAAAAATAAATGTTAATATTTATTGCATACCTTTTTAATGTATAGTTAATTGGCTGCTATAAGGTTTAAACTTCCTTCCTTCATTATAAATATCGGAAACTACTGTATATGTATAGTGTAAGGGTGCCAGGAAGGACTTACGGTATTAAAACTATAAGAACTCAGAATTATGGACTTAGTCTCCGTTAGATAAAATAATTTATTATTTGCGTGAATATAGGTATAACATTTCTAATAACACAAGATAGAGTTAGATCACCTAAATGAGATTTTGTCATGAAATTTAAATAGCAAATAAGCTGACGGCCTACCTGATGCTAAGCAGTAGTCGTCGCCTATATATACAAACTAGCTTTTGCCCGCGGCTTCACTCGCGTTAATTTATCTTCGTGTTATTTATATTGGTGGAATTTATCACAATCCTGTTTTAGGGGATGCCTACGTTATAGTAGCTTTATACATGCAAAGTCTCAGCCTGATCGGTTTAAAATTGACAAAGTGTCATAAAAACTTTCATCTCCTATTTTATCCCCTTGGAATTAATTTCCGCTTGAATTAATCAAAATCCTTTCTTAGCGGATGCCTACGTCATAACATCTACCTGCATGCCAAATTTCAGCCCGATCCGACCAGTGATTTGGGCTGTGCGTTGATAGATCACTATGTCAGTCACCTTTTTCGTCGCCTATATATACAAATAACACTTCGACATTACGATATCAGGTGACACCGCGAAATATTAAAAATATGTTTTAGGGGATGAATACGGAAAGATGTTCCTTCTGGAATGGATGATGAAGATAGGTATAATAGAATGAGTGGCAGGGAACTTAATCTAATTAAAGGGAATGAAATTATATGCAATGGTTTTCATGAAGGACCGTTTATATAAGTCAAACCGACATGGTGCCACTATTAGACCGACAATAATTTACGCAGATTATTATGTGAAATATTTATCCCTTTAATAATTGCAATCGTGTTAAGCAGTGGCGGGTCTCTAGACCATACCGGCTATACTACTACAAATGCAAAATTTGTGTCTATCTGCCTGATTCCCTGATACCCTTTCACAACTAAAGGACTGGCTGACTTAAAGGGTTTTAATTAAATTTGTCATGAAGATAATTTAAATAAAACTTTAAGGTATTTTAAATTAGATAATTAAAAATAATAGGTGTTGAGAAACTATGTATATTAAAATATAAAACGAAACACTTTTTAGGTCACCTTACCACGGCTATACATTTTACGGCTTTGGATACCATTCTTTTGAGCCCAATCTTAACAAGTACACTAAACCCGTAAGATGTTTTACAACACAGAGTTACAATATGATTTTGTTTACAGTTAACATTAAACCATGTTTCCAAATATACTGTTATGCAATATATTTTTACAATAGTGTGTCCATTTGTATGTTAACTTTTTACTACTAACCGGCTGATACATTGTCAATGAAATTAAATATGAAGGAAATTGTGTAACTTCGATATTCTATCCCGAAGTTACACAAGTCTATCTAATATTTAATAAAAAGCAGACGAAGTTACGGATACAAGCTAGTGTTTAATATAGAAAATACGTTACTCAATTTCGAGAATATATTTAGATTTGAGAGGATATTTACCATCATTATGCATAGAATGATTGACAGTGGGGAAATAGAAACCATTATAACACCTACGTTTCACAATTCGTATTACAAACGAATAATCATTAGCCTTAAATACTTAAGAGTTCGCACGCACATGACACCCCGGGTGTTTCAGGAGTCTATAGACTACGGTAACCGTTTACCATCAGATAGGCCGTATGTTTGATTGTGAACGTATGTTGTATTAAAAAAAATCCTTATGTAGATATGAGAAGACTTATTTCAGAGTAACTGGCTGTTTCCGGCGGTTTTATCCGCTTTTTATAAAACAAAAGATATGCCTGTACCCAATAAGTTATGAATTATTAAGATCCGCTCGACACGTTTAACAGTGCACGGTCTCTGTGGTCTAACGTTTAGCACACTGCTTTATTTCTGATGGTCACGGGTTCTATTCTTCGCTCGGTACAAACATTTGTGTTCATAAGTATGATTGTTTGTATTGGTCGGGGTGTTTTCAATTTATGTCATTGAAGTATTTTAGAAATCTAAATATTTATATCAGTTGTCTAGTACTCATAATTGTCTAGTACAAGCTGTGCTTACCTATGCGACTAGATGGCGTGAATTAACCAGGGCATAAAAATTAACAAACAGACGGTTTTCACCAGTCCTCGTAAGGCAATTATTTTCACCTTGTTTTATTAATTATAGTAGTAGTATCCGCTCCCCTCTCTCCACGGATGTATATGTATTATACAAATAAACCTTTCTCTTATTCCTTTATCTATTGCTAAGAACTGCATTAAAGTCCTTTGCGTAGTTTAAAAGATCTATCCGAACAGACAAAGGAAACTACTTCATTTTATACTATGTAAAGATTATATAAATTTCATTAAGATCCGTCATAAACCCGAAAAAGTAACATATCTATAGAAATACAAACACATTTTCATATTTACAATATTAGTATGAGTTAGGATAACATTGTATCACGCTGTTAGTTTTTTTTACTACAGCAATTTTATTTTATAGCTTCAACGCTCCAGCGACATAAGGCAAACAGAATTACTCTAGTCGATTCTACAAAGCAGAATATTTACTTACTGACAACCCTAATCTGGCCCTTTTATCTCACACCGCTGAGGGTGAGTCGTTGTCTCTGTTGATTTTAAATAATTTAAGATTTTCCCCCACAAGAAATACCTTAACCAAGGGAAACTAAAAAGAGACTGACCTTTTCTATGAATAAAAAATTGTCACAATCGATTGAAAGCTAGCGAAAGCATTGTGTTAAGATAATTATAATTATAATCACACTGGTGACTCGCGACTTTGTCTGGTTTTGCCTTGAAAAATAGACAGACAGTTTCAAACGGACTGATCAGTCCTAAAAAAGTAATAGACACACAGGCACACTCGGGAATCGAACTTACGATAGCTTGAGCCGAGGTTCGAATCTCTAGTGGTGCTCTCAGACTAAAGTCATATCGGTCAGGCAGGAGTTGGCCTTAAGACGCGCTAGAAGCCTATCCACGGGTTTGAATGCAATCTGCAGTTGCTCCTTATCGTTCGGTGAAGCTATAAAAGCTAACTGGGGCCAACAGCATTAGAATAGTTCGAAAAAGAAAACAAGCTCAATTTCGTATTTCGATCACTATTCTTTATTGTGCACACATATAAGAAAAAATAACAGTTATAAGGTAAATGTAATGTACAAGAGCGAGTTTATCGCTAAAAAGAGATTTTTTCAGCAAACCTGACGGCCTCTGAGTCAAGCGATTTAGCATATCGCTTTACTTCCGATGGTCGCGGGTTAGATTCCTCGCACGGCACAGACATTTGTATTCATGAGTATGAGTGTTTGTATCGGTCTGAGTGTTTTCTACGTATAATATGTATATTACGAAAAAAAATATCCATGTATTTGTATCAGGTATCTGGTACCCATAACACAAGTTTTAGCTAGCTTAACTTGGGACTAGATGGCGCTGTGTGAATTGTCCGGTGATTATTATTACTAAACCTGGAGAATATAGGATACTGTGGTCATTAGATCAGCCACACATATATCAGTATAGATTAGAACAGATATAATTCAAAAGTTTATAAGGGAGGATTATAAACGATTATTTTAATGACGTCATGAATTATGGGGTCACCAAAATGTCAGGTGGAAAAGTAACGTTGACTATTAATAAAACACCCATCCAAAAACTATAAAGCCCAACACGGCGCGGCGTACCTTCAAAATCCTGCCAAAACTTTACATCGTGGTCACTGTATAAATTTATCATACGCTAACATAAATATTAATCATTAAATTGTGAGTGGTTATTATAAATTAGAACTTAACGCTTAAATTAGGGTTGTCACGTTATTTATGGAATATTTTATTAATTTAAATGTACGTTTATGAAAACTATAATAATAATGTACCATAATCATGACTATTGTCCCTGATAGGGTAGTCAGAGGCATTGAATTGTTTATGTCATGGTGTAGGTGATACTTGACATTTACCTGGATATCTATTTTTGCATCTAACGTGGTGGATGGCAACCCTACCACCTACACTTGGACTAGTTTGGTGATATATTAACGGTGTTCTCGTCACAGGAGAGTCGACAAATGACATTTTTTTATATCAGCCCAATTAGTTATCACGACTTTTTGGCTATTACTGTACTTTAATTAAAATTATTGTAATTAATATTGCAAAATGCTAAAAAGAGTTTGTTTATTACGCTATTACGCCTACCAAGAGTACATTTGAATGTTACGTGTTTTAATCATTAATAATCACATGTCGCATCGATATAGCGGACTAGTAAAAACTAGTATATTTCTAAAGTAATTTGTTGAGGTACTTGAGCGTAGACGGGTCATCATGGCCCATATTCATGAAGAAGTTCATTCTTATTATTATTATGTAATATTATGTTATCTGTGTTATTATATACAATAGATCTACCTTTCTACATAGTTAGCTTCATATCTAAATATATGTAACTCAAAGGTAACTGACATAGTGATCTATCAACGCACAGCCCAAATCACTGGACGGATCGGGCTGAAATTTGGGATGCAAGTAGATGTTATGACATAGGCATCCGCTATAGAAAGGTTTTTGCTTAATTCTACCCCCAAAGGGATAAAATAGGGGATGAAAATTTGTATTAAACTTCGTCAATTTTAAACGATCGGGCTGAGACTTTGCTTGCATAAAGCAACTATGACGTAGCTATGAAAGGATTTTGATAAATTCCACTAAGGGATAAATTAACGCGAGCGAAGCAGCGAGCAAAAGCTAGTTTATTCATATTATTACTGTTTTTATTCTTATTTATTTATCTATAATTCTATATTATTAATACATTGTATTCTGATATCTCGTATATGAGTTTTATAATTCTTAAAAAAAAACATTTTTCAATCTATAAAGAAAACTTTTTTTTTCATTAATTTCGCTCATCTAAATATGAATTTAATGTCATAAAAACACAGAAGTTTAAGTAGAGTGAAAGTCAATCATGAATATCCAAACCGCTGCATTCGACCGACCAATCAACTAAGTCGGCAACCCTAGTATGAATTGACTCGAATAACGGACCTTTCCTATATGAGGTCACCATTTATAGTTCTACGGTTGCCGTTAATGTAACGATTTAGATAACTAATAAGGGTTTGTTCCTAATAAATTCCTCATATTGGGGAGAAGGGGATTGTTAGTAATCCTCAACGGTCCCATTGCTAGCAATGTATCCTATAGATCAATGTAATGATTGACCTCCACGCGGTTCCTCCTGGAAATCATCATCATAAATTCCTGGTCAATTTGTCACAATGACCTAACTAACTTGACCTTATATATGCTCATATTACGATCCTCCACTGATGCCACGCCAGCGTAAACCGTTAGCACAGAAATTTGATGAATTTGAGCAATTTGATATTGCTAGTTACAATTTATCACATTAGTCATTCATACAAACATAATTCCCAAGATACTGTATTAAAAATCTAGTGCTCTAATATGTACGGATTATGGCAGTACTATTTTTGTCTTTTGTATCACTGATGCCCATATCTAAAAAACAATACCTTCACGCCTGTATCCCAGTGGTGAAATCTACGACATTGTCAACTGTCGACGACTTGGTGACGATAACAAACGAAATGCTCATATTTCTCTTAGTATATTGAATGAAAGTAATCAGCAATGAGCCAACCGCTATCTCTATAGGATTACTTTAGCTTCTTATCCATGTGTATGTTTCCATCAACCGACAGTCAGTTAGAAACACAAAGTGATATTTAAGTTAAGTCATAAATAAAAAGCTTCGAAGCAAATCATTCTTGAGAAAATAAAACCAGATGAGTAAAGAAACAAATGAAACTATGTTCTAATGACAAAATATAACTGCAAATAAATCATAATATGTAATTTATTTTTTATTTATATATTTATTTATTATTTTACAGCACTTCCCATATCCCTGTATTCAAACAATGAAGAATGAAATAAAAATTTTGGAAAAATTGTTTAAAAATGTAAGTAAGTAGGTAATATACCATTGTAAACATTGTACCTACATACGATTGCTCACCATATTCTGGTTAAAGTTATAGTTCTAGATAAGATTTTTTGTTGTCGGTCAGATTTGAATTTGTGACCTTTGGGACTATTTAGTAAAGTTTACAATGGCTAGGATATAGGCTGTGGCGCTCTTTCGATTGATTTTAAATAGTTTTATTAGTAAACATGACACCTTTATTTGAAAAGAAAAAATATATGTACCTATATTATATTGACTGTGCATACCAACATATATAACATATATAACATTGCAATATATCTATAAATTATATATCTATGGTATTATTCACTCTGTACTTTTATTTTACTTTACTAGAATATTGTCTATTAATGTAACAATGTCTAAAGGAATAATAAGTTCTCCCGCACAAAGAAATTAAAAATATCTACGGGTTAACAGGAATCCCGAGTTTCTTAAGGGCTTATTACACTTCGAAAATAAGGATTAAATCTAGATCAATCTCGCAATTTAAGAGGCTATTGACGCACTTCTAATATGAGTAAAAAAGTTTAACAATATCTTGTTCGAACTTAGAGCATGAGAGTATTCTAGTGAGATTACTGATCGTTTCTATCAAGTATTTATGACCCTTTGATGAAAGTATAATAATATATAAAGTATGATCATAAGTGATTGTGTAATAAGGAACTTGCAGAAAAAGTGACTTGACTCTTTTAATTTTTTAAATGTTAACAGTTTTCTTTTTGTTTTTAATGTTTTATTAATAGCAAAATGATTGAATTTGTTAATAATTTAATTGTATTGATATCTGATACAGAACTATTACTTGGTACTACGTCTGTGGTACTACCACAATTTTTTTTTCTATGTATATTATGGATGTATGTATACTGAGATAACATGCCGCTCATCCCTTCAACATAAACTTATCTTACAAAGGAAGCTGCATAGCGGCAGAAAGGTGAGATAGAAAAAAAATCAAAAAAAGAGGAAAAATGCATGGTAATGTCATAAACGGAAACTAACTTTTTGGAAAAAGAGAAAAATTGAAATTATATTAAATTGTCACGCATCGAACCTAGAACTGCGATATATAGCTAACTTAACCAAACACATAAATATAATAGCTATATTTATTAGTGAAATAATTTAATTAATGAAACTGATAGTATTTTTATTTTTATTAGAAATTAAATATTTAAAATAAAATATATAAAGTAAAGTAATTTAGAATTTTATTGACATTAATATAAAATTTAATTGATGTTTTTATCTATATTTAAATGATTAAATATTATTAGAAAAATAATAATTACCTTTTTTAATGCAGTTACTTTTATTAATAACACTAATCCACTCACTGGCTGTATCCCAGCTAACAATAAAAATATAAATTTTAAATTTCGAACTCTATTTTATCCCTTATTCCATCGAACCCGATCCTGTATTACCGTTCAAAGGAGCAATCGTTGACTACGCTTACTGAAGTAAACTTCGGTCCTTTTATACCAAACAGGGCGTTATACAGTGGTCTCAGAATTTATAATATCTAAACGTGACATTTAAAATAATGTGACGTCACTACACTATTAAATTATTATTTCTATCTTGTACAATAATTAGTTACAATATATTTTATTTTGTTGCAGATAACATTAACAAAATATCCATGGTTATTTGTAATAAAATAATGTTTACAATCCACAACTGAAATAATATTTATTGATATAACAAAATCACTGACATTGTGTAATAAGTAATACCACATAACACACAGGAACTTGAATAAGAACTCCATACAAGTTACCTGTAAAAAAATATAATGTCTGAAATGATACCACTGTCGTATTTATTTATTTAAGCATTATATAAAACCCGTATAACATATAAAACCCGATATAACACTACAATACACTATTTCTTTATATCAAAAAGTATCAGTCTAAAAAAAATCGCATTCATTGACTACTTTAATTGATATATTTATACTAAAATAGAAATCGTCTACTTGACTATCCATATTAATTTTGCCATCCAGCAGTTTTTTTTTCAGTATTGAAATTACAAAGTACAAAGGTGCAAATTGGCATGAGTGATCATCTACTACGGGTGCTACATGACGACGTGATGTCCGTAGCTATTCTTGTATACTTGTAAAATGGCGACGCCGATTATTACTTTCCATAAGGCTGGCCGTCAGCTGGCAAGCCATTCCATATAGATATTAAAAAAATATTCCTACTCTGCGCTGATAATATATTCACATACAAAACAATACATTTCATCAACACCTAAAACTACTAAAGTTGTATTACCTAAATTCAGTGAATCTAATACTTAGACCATTATGTCAACTTAACTAAATACTTTACTAAGTTATTTCTAAGCAATTATGTTAAATCTCACTGTGTACATTACAATAATTTTAAGTTTGTACAGTGATTAAAGGCATGGACCAAATAAATTGTACAATGTATGAAACATTTTATGATTGCGAAACAGTTGTAGTCTGATCCATACAAATCGGATTAAAACTTCAGATGTAAAATGACTCTTATTTAATCGCAAAACGCCGAAATCCTGCGTACGAAGACGCGGTAAAACCAGTGCTACATAAATTCCTAAAATATTTGTATGTATGTTTTCATTATATTAAATGTAATTATGCATATATCTTATTAATACTATAAACGCGAAAGTTTGTGAATATGGACAGATGTTTATTACTCTTTCACGCAAAAACTACGGAACTTATTTTAATGAACCTTTACATTAATATAGCTTATACATCAGAATAACATATAGGCTATAAATTTCACGCGGCTGAAATCGCGGGCGCAGGTAGTATTTTATATTGTATGTATATGTTGTATTAATGATGTGTATTCAGAATAGAATATATATTAAAATTTCTTTTACTAATAGTCTGTATTAGTGTTTAAAGAAGTAAAAGAAAATTTTGTTTACAGCTTCAAATAGTATCAATGTATTACAGTATACTGAACACAGGACCAATATCGACGCGGTGGTGGAGAGCGCCCTGAATCGCTTTATAGATCGCCTCGTGTGTATCGAAGTCACGGCCCTAAGCAAGCCGATTGAAACCCTACCATTACTGTTCCAATATTTCCTCCGATTTTAGTACCACAAATGGTCTAAACACTACACTCAAATCAGGGATAATATCGGAGCAGTAATATTGGTTGAGAGTATAATCATTTGTACTTAAGAATTAGTATTCTGTACCTCCTAGTAACAACTGCTATCCTAGTACTTAGGTTTTTTTTTTGAGGGTTGATAATGGAATGATGCAACCTCCTGCGCTAACGGTTTACGCTGGCGGGGCACACGTGGAGGATGATAAGATGAATGGATCAGGTCAGTTAGCCCATCGTGACAAATTCACTAGGAATTTATCAAGATGGTTTCCAAGGGGAATCGCGTGGAGGTCGACCTGACATGGTACATTGCTAGCAATGGGGTTATCAATCCACATTACTAACAATTGCCTTCCCCCCCTAGTACTTAGGTTTGAAATGTGATATCAATCTGACTCGCTCACTCTAAGAGGTGGACTATTGCGAAAGATTTATTAATTTGTGTTATGGGAAGGCAAAAATGATGTCCTCTTTGGTCTAGCAGTTTAGCACACCGCCTTTCTTCCAATGATCGCGGGTTTGACTTCCCGTGCGTTACATTACATATTCATGCGGTGCGTTGTTTGGGTGTCTAAGTATGTGTGCATTTACAAAAAATGTATTTAAGTATATTCTCATATGCATTAGGGCGGTGAGAAGCCTATGTCCAGCAGTGGACAACTGTGACCTGATGATGGTAGATATAATATAAATACTGAAATTTAGAAACAAAAATATCTACAATAATTATAAGATGCTAAAAATATATGGATTTGTCTAAGGAAATCAATAAAAATACAGCCTATAAAGCTCTTATAGAAATTGTGACAGTCGTGTCGGTCCTTAACAACTTACACCAGCCTCATTTAAATATTATGTTGATTTTTTTCTAAAATGTTAAACGCTTTCTGTGGATTTCAATATATTTGAGGAAAGGGCAACGGTTTATAATATTCATTTTCATGAGGTTTTTGTCCATACTGAATTTGGGTCAAATTTTGTAAACCAGTTCCGGATTTGAGTCGATGGATCGGTATAACTGAATGCATTTTGTATACGAGTATATATATACCTATGTATAAATAATATTAATATGTATTTGGAATGCTAAATCACCCCACGAAGGTAACCTTCGTCTATATATATGAAATTACTGTTATTAATTTGACGCCCAAGCTAGTCTAGTGATTTAGCACACCGCTTTACTTCCAATAGTCGCGGGTTCAATTCCTCGCACGGTACAAACATTCGATAAAACTGTTTTTTTTTACTACGATAGCAGCAAACTAACATACAGGCCATCTTATGGCAAATGGATATCGTAGCATATGAACTCATGTGACAGGAGTTTCACGTGCGCGTTGCCACCCTTATTGAAAAACCTCATGCTGTAGTCCGTGAGAAATCCTTGGCGGGTAGTTCATTGCACAATCTAAGTGTACGTGGAATGAAGCTTCTCTGAAACCGTACTTGCAACGAATAGTTTTTGTAGGCGTGCTAAGTGTTAAGACGATGCATCGCAAATATTGACATTAGTAATCTTAATTTATATATTTATGTAGTTCATTTTATGTAGTATCGGATTAATTCGCTTCAATTCATCAGGATGATTTGTTAATTAATAAATAATAGAGAATATAAGGATTAGATCACAATGTCTAAAGGTGATGATAAGATCTTTTCCATAGAAAATGTAAAAGCAAATAGAACCTTTCGTCCAAATTGAGTCAAGTACTTAACAATGGTTCAGCATAAAAGCGGTCACACTTCATCCCCAAATAGAACTTGAGCCAATTTCAACCTTAGCCAAGAGGTTTTATTAGATAAATACAATACAATTTAAAATAGACTCGTACCTTAAGAAATGTTGTGGTATAGCGAACTGTAACAACTCCGAGAAGTACTTAAATTCGTGAGTTTAAATCTAGAAGCAATGGTTACGACTGGTTTTTTATAATACTAGTTGTACCCGCGACTTGGTCCGCGTTGAATTTAACTTTATTTTTCTAAAATAAAAGTAGTCTAAGTTACTCCTTATTACATCAGCTTCCTGTCAAAGTAAAAAAGTCCCGTCAAAATCGGTCCAGCCATTTCAGAGATTAGCCGGAACAAACAGATAGACAGACAAAAATTGAAAAAATGTTATTTTGGTGTATATTTATATTCATATATATGCATGTAGTAAAAGACGGTTATTTCAATATTACAAACAGACACTCAAATTTTATTTATATGTATATTATAAATTTTATTTAGATGAAGTTATAGGATAAATCTCAAAATATTAACTGTCATTTTCTTATTGATAAATAAATAAATACTTTTAAACACAGAGAAATCTAGTCGCCGTGTTTTATGTACATAGAATGGTAAATAGTTGATAGCATACCGAATGGTAAGTTTCCTGCACAGATATAACACTCTCTTTTGATACCTAGTTAGATAGTTAATTCCAGAGGACTAGATGTTATGCCTTTCTTGCTTTAGGATAGAAAAAATCAGTGAAATTTCACTGCTTTTTTCTATCCTATAACCAGATGCAAACTGCTTGGGGGCAAAATAGGTGAAACTATTGCGTGATACAAGCAGGGATACCTATACCACTGTTTGTGTCACGCTGTTTTAGATGGACAGGAAAATAAATAAAGAGTAATCTTTTAGAGATAAGACTTCCTTTGCTAACAAAACATATATTATTTTTTGTATTTACAAGTGCAATACCATGAGAACATTTTAATATCTACCTAACCCAAACTAGTTTGTGGCTAGGTGTATCTTTCTTTTTTTCTGAGCTTCGTTTTATTCTACAATCATAAACAAACCACGGCTCGCCTGATACTAGGAAACTAAATAGTACCATAGACTATGGCTACAACGATGCACTAAAGGTGCAATAATGTTTTACCCTGAATGTTGGTTAATTGCAGAAGTACTGAAAATAAACATTCAATTTTCTTATTACGTGAAGCCTTACGCGGTAGCGAATCGCAAACTAATTAACAAGAAATTTTCTATAAATTTAATAAATGCGAAATGTATTGCATCTTGTACTTATACGAAGTGTAATTGTGTTATAGTTGATCATTTGAAATGTCTCGATGATTAGACAACTGTGTTTGGGACCATCATCATCATGACCAGATCAGTGACATAATAGTTATTGATTTTCAAAATTCACTACAGCTACAGTTTTTTTCTGAGGTAGACTGTAGAAAGTCAGTCTATTTGCAGCTTACTCTATTTACTAAATATATATTATTTTTTGTATTTACAAATACAATACCCTGAGAACATTTTAAACATTAGTAGCTGATA